TTAGAAGTATGCGTGTTACACAAACGCATACTTCTAACGTTAATCAAGTTGTTACAATAATCAACCCTTGTGCAAAACGCACATTAATGATACCGGAAAAAACTAGCATGCAAAAAACCATGTTAACTTTAACATGGGACTTACCTTAACACGATGTTGCAGACAAGAATCTGTGTGAGAGACTGCTGCTGTATCCGACTCCCCGCTCTTAAAGGAAAATCGCGCGCCACAAATACGCCTCCACCCGCCTCCCAGAATACTCTGGAATTCTGGGAGAAACTCTGTTTAGTGTTGATTTTAAAATCAGCACTGAACAGAGTTGCTTAGATTTAACTCTTCAGAGTAACACAAACTCTTTCGGGGAACCAACTCCTACATTGTTGAATTAGACCAAGAAGTGTTGAATTAACACTATTTTTAACAGACAACACTAACACTGGAAATCTAACACTTTTGATTTTGCTGTGTAAGAACATTGACACATTGTATAGTGTTATGACTATACTATACCTTGTACTTGTGTGTGGTGGGGGTTGGTAAGAGTTATCGTGCATTTATCGTTATCGAGGTGAACTGGTCAATATATCGAGATATTGATTTTAGGCCATATCGCCCAGCCCTAATGGAGAGAATACCAAAAAACTTTAAAATTTGTATTGTTACTCCAGATTTTTGTGTGCAGATATGTATAAAGTTATAAACCACACTGCAGACATGCATTCTTCAGGGTATTGTATGGAAGGTTTTAATGTGTTTACAATCTCTTTTCTTTATTAAACAATGAAAAATGTCCCTGCCTAACTATTCATGGCTGATCTGACTGGCTTGTATGGACCTTGAACCATGGTGGGCATTACATCTAGAACTATTTATTTATATAATAATAGTAGTGGGTGACAAGCTAATATTTCTTCTGCCACCAACTATGATGACGTGTGGAAGAGCTAACGTTGGTTGTTTGCTAACGCTCCTTCATCCATAAAGGTTGGGGGTAGGGTTGGGTACTGAAACTCGGTTCCAGTATGGCACCGGGGCGAAGATCAATGGTAGTACACAGACTGAAACACAACTCTAATTTCGGTGCCTCAAAGAAAGCTGTTAATTGAGCCCTCTGGTGTTCACTGTTAACAGTGACAGCCTCAGCACACAATCTCCACAGAGTGCCAACAACAAGGATGAGTTATGAACTTCTAATGTGTTTTAACTGTCTAATTTAGCTGTTTCTGTCCGCTGTGTCAGACTATGAGTGGTAGAGAGAACAGCTGTGTGTTGTTTCACTTCAAACGGGAGCGCAGTGAGCGCCATGTTTTTACTTTTGGTTTGAAACCACACAGTAATTAGCGTGTCCACGTTTTTATTTTAAAAAATGCTGGTACTGCTCACAGAGGCATAGAAGAACACCTGTATTGTTCTCCCTGCTGGATTAAAATAAAAAGCTCTTGGTCCTTTCTCGCTGTTACGGTAGAGCTGCCGCCATGCAGCAAACAGATGGTGCAGATCACATTTGCTCTGACCACAGTTTAAAAGTTGTGATGCAGTTTTCCTTTGGTGTACATTTCAAACTGTGCTCTAAACTTAACTTCAGCTGGGGTGCAGACTGGGGCAGACTATGAGCTCTGCATGCGTGCGTGCGTGCGTGCGTGCGTGCGTGCGTGCGTGCGTGCGTGC